AGCTGTCAACAGAGCTCACAAGTCACTCCAGCAAGCTTTGACAAAAACCCAGGAGGCGGCCCAGGTGGAAGTTCGGCGGCTGGAGGATATTCTTCGGGATGTTGACACTCTGCACGGGCAGGAGAAGAAAGACATGCAAGGTGATATCATGATTGCAACCTCCCGGAAGCGGTGCATGGAGATCCTCTTTGAGAAGCAGGAAGCCATGGACGAGTACATCAAGTCTTTCACCGACTCCGGAGCTGGATCCGGTGCCTCGAGCAAATCTGATCCTGTGCGTGCCCTGGGAAGGGCCCCGCCATCTCGGCTGTATCGTGATCTGAAGGTCTTTGACGAGTGGAAAGACATGGTAGAGCGGATCTTGGATTGCGACAGTGCCGATTCCATCGAGCAGGCAAAGACAGCCTGCAACGACGTGAAGGGGCCGATTACTGACCTTATCAGTGCATCCAAGTCAGCCATTTCAGATGTCACCAAGGCGGTGAAAGCAGCACGGGCTGCACAGAAAGCCAGGCAGGAAGCTAAAAAGAAGAAGAAAGTTTCGGAGCCGTCTGAGCTGGGTGGCGCTGGGCTTGCAGTTTTCCAAGTGCAGGAGAAGTGCGAGCAAGTGCGGGAGTACCGGGAGGGTGACACTGAGGCTGCAGACCTGTCCAAGCCTTTCTTGATCCAGTGCAGCTCAGAGGCACAGGCAAGCTTCGACTCTGAGCCCAGCATCAAAAGCTCTGTGTATGGAGATTTCATGCAGCTTTTTCGGACCCAATCACCCATCCAGCGGATGGACCGCTGCACCAAGAGATACGACGGCACCGAGTTGGACCGGAAGCTAACAGCTAGAATGACTGCCCTTCTCAGTGCCACTGCACTCACCGCGAAGTTGCCAAGCTCCCTTCGTGGCCCAATGGGTGTGCAAGCGGTAATCATCGCCAAGAACACCGTGAAAATCTATCCGGAGAAGAGTCACCTAGGCACGGCAAGGTATCATCAGCATCGGATCTTGTTTTGGAGTAAGATCGTAGTCATCATGTCAACAATTTGCAGGAGCTTTGCGGTTGTCTCTCAGCGGCTGCCGGGAGGTTGTCTTGGTGCCGAGCAAAGAGTTTGCAGAGCATGCCAGTGCAAAATCATTGCGTGAGGCAAAGGATTGCTTGGGCCGGATGAATGGCGAGATGTTGGGGAAGCTCCGGTCTCAGGGCGTGCAAGTGTTCAGTGCGAAGGTTGGCAAGGCCGATTCATGCCAGTGTCATGTCACGTTCTGCGTCATGTGTAAGTGTAAGTGCAGAAAACACAGTCGATACTCACTAGATGACAGGGCTGGGCATTGTACACGCCCCCCGGTTACCTGATCGCAGAGCGTGTGCCGGGGTCCATTCCATGGCTTGGGCTCCGGAGTGGCACGATGGCAGCGACACTCCTCACACAACAGCGACTTCAGTGGGTTTTCCGGTCATGGTCATCAGAAGATCAGGTGCTCAAGGAGATGATCAGCTACGTCACTGACATGCTGAATACTCCCCAGCAGCAGAAGGCCGAGAATGATCGTGCAGAGCAGGAAGCATTGGTGAGGCAGCAGCAGCAAGAGGCTCAGCAGAAGCAGGTGGAAGAGGAAGCAGACAAGCAACGACAGCAACAACATCTGGCACAGATGCAGAAGGAGGCTGAGCAAAAGCAGGAGGAAGCAGACAAGCAACAACAGCTGAAGGCCAAAGAGGAGGAGGAGGACAAACGTCATGCAGAGCATCTGGCCTTGGCGCAGAAGCAGATGGAGGCTGAGCAGAAGCAGAAGGAGGAAGCAGACAAGCAACGACAGCAACAACATCGGCAGCAGAAGCAGGAGGAGGCAGACAAGCAGCGACAGCAACAACATCAGCAGCAGAAGGCCTTGGCGGAGAAGCAGGCTCAGCAGAAGCAGGAGGAGGCAGACAAGCATCGACAACAACAGTTGCAGCAGCAGAAGCAGGAGGAGGCAGACAAGCAGCGACAGCAACAACATCAGCAGCAGGCCAAAGAGGAGGACAAACGTCATGCAGAGCAGGACCAGGAGGCTTTGTCACCTTGGCGCAGGCGACAGCAACAACATCAGCAGCAGAAGGCCAAAGAGGAGGACAAACGTCGTTCAGAAGAGCCGGCGAAAGAGGAGCATGGTCAGGAGGGGACCGCTGCGGCTTTGGCAGCTTTGTCGCAGCTGCAGGCACAGGCAGAACAGAGTCGCAAGCGGAAGAAGGAGGAGCACCATCAGGACCGTGGGATATCGTAGCCTGTACTGTCTGAAGAGGAGTGTGTCGTTGCGTTTCCGGCAGGATGAGATGCGGGAGCCAGATGAGAAGATGCGGAGGCTTTGAGGGCCTTAGAGCCTTAGGCCCGGGGCTGGGATTCCTGAGCGAGGGTTAGTTTTCCATCAACCGCCGGGCCATGCAGGTCAAGTGTGACATGATTATAGAGTACGGGCATCTGCTTCAGCCTGCGATCCTGTGCGGTGACTTGTAGGTAGGTGGCACACTGTGGTGCTCCGGTGGTTGTCAGGTGGGCAGCTGGTTGCAGCGTACAAACTTATATCAGTGATCAGCTTCTCTTATCTTGTAGACATGTTATCTCCGCATGGTGAAGTCAGCAACCCTGCTCTGACGGGGCAAGTTCGCACAGTGTGATCTTCTGCATTTTGATGAGTCAAGCTGCTGGCGATTAAGACCAGTGCAACAACAGACCAGAACTTCAGAAGCCGAGGATGCACAAGACTTGAACTCCATGCATTGCACGTTTTCAGGTTTTGGGAACTCATGATTTGAACCTGCTGCTTGCTTGGACGGTTGTGCACGTGTGAATGCATTGCTCCAGGCGTGTGGCCAAACATGTCAGAGAGTAGCCAGCCTCCCTTGAAACGAAAGTTCAGCTCAGATGTGGGCGGCGCCGCTAGTGATTCCGATGATGGGCCGCGTCCGCTGCGAAGCTTCTATCCGAGAGGATGTGCAGCTCATGGTTTGAGCGACCATGCATTCGACAACTTGCCCCCTGGGCCAGGCGATCTGCCTGGCATTTTCAGATGGCATACAGGCATGGTGCAGCGTTTCTTGAAAGTGGCCTCTGCTGCACAGGCATCTGCAGGCACCCCAAGGCCACGTGTGATCGTGACTTCGTCCTACTCTGGGATGGGCATGGCCGAGATCTCCTCCAAGTTCGTGGCCAATGCTTTTGAGACCCATGGCCTGCCGTTCGAGCTTGTCTGTCACAGCCAGACAGAGATTTCCGATAAGTGCAAACCTTGCCTGGAATCCAATCATGTGTTCAGTGACTTGCAAGACCGGCTGCCTAAGAAAGTTATCGGCAAGTTGGCGAGCATGCAAAAGAAACATGCAAAGGCGGTGGGCAGGACGGCAGCCATGACTAAACAGGCATGTTCAGATCAGTTTTTGGCCGAGGCCCTGAAGTACCTTGAGGAGCAGGGCGAGGTTGTGGCACGGACAATGCACTGTGACAAGTGCGGTCGAGCATGTTCATGGGCGCCAGATGCTAGTCCAGGTTCCTTGTGGGTCGAGGTTGCTGGCAACACGTGTACACCGTGGTCGTCTCGTGGGCATGGTTTGGGTTGGTTGGACCCCAAGAGTCTCCCTGCTTTGGCTTGGGGGTGGAGCTTGAAGCATCATGCCCCAGACGTCATCATCAACGAGTGTGTGTCCAGCTGGCCTGCTGAAGCTTTCTTCAAGGCCCTCTTCCCGGAGGCAATCGTCGGCTGCAGCCTGTTTTCTCCAGTTGATCTTGGCGTACCTGTGCACAGACCTCGCAAGTACACCGTGGTCATACCGACTTCCAGCTCTGCCCTTTCCGGCCAGTTTGCAAGCTGGGATGAGAAGGTCTTGACTGGATTCGCGTGTCAGAAGCTGCAGCTGGGCGGTTCTGTTTTTTTGAGTGCTCCGGAATCTGAGGTGAAGGATGTCCTGCTTACGATGGCAGATGCCAAGCAGCTGCCCCCGCTTCCGAGTGGCAAGGACTACGCCTTCGAGGTGGTCATGCCTACAGCTCAGCGCATGCGTATGCAGCAGTTCCGCCACGCTCTGGAGGAATCGCGTGAAGAAGACTTGGATATCAATGCAGATATAGCTCACACGCCCCAGTACACGACAGCCATGCGGGTGCTGCCAACAATCATCCAAAATAGCATCATGTTCAACTTTGCAGCCAAGAGAATGTACTTGCTTCGTGAGTTGCTGTCAGCCCAGGGCATCCCCGTGTACACCTCCGACGATGATCCTGTTCGAGAGCTTGTATCACCAACGTTCATGCGTGCCATTTCCGATCTTCGTGCTGCAGACCTTCACAGTATGATCGGAAACTCCATGTGCTTGTGCCAGGTAGGGGCACCGCTAGTTTTCGTAGTTGGCAAGTTTCTGGTGCGCAAACAGTAAGCTCGCACAGACCGCGCCGAGTTGAAAAAAAGATGCGTGTCGGTGACCGTCAGTGCGTTTTAGCTTCTTGAACCTCATCTCCAAGTGCGATCGTCGAAATTTTGAAGTATTCTTATAATAGTTTTTTATTTCCCTAATCCTTCCTATACCCCCGAAGCCATTTTAGCTCAATTGGCTCAAATTACCAAACGGCTCAAGTACACGTGTGACCGTGCACTTCAACTCTTGCTGTGGCTGAAACAAGAATCGCAATCATGGGCTACAATTCGTTGCCTGCGCCTGGAATACTCGTGTGATCTCTCGTTGGTAGCCGGGTAGCTGGCGTGCAAGTCTTGTACACCCAATCCTAACTCGGACGGAGGTGTTGACCAACTTTGGGGCAACGTTGCTGCCTGTGTGTGCTGGTCCTCACATATTCCATTGCTGCTGCTACTGCCACTGCCACTGCGACTGGAATGTTGGCAGTAATGGCAGTAAAGGTGATTATGATAGCAATCAGCCACAACAGCAGGTGATGATGTTGACGAAGAGGCTGATGGTTGGTACTAGTAGTGGGCTCGTGCATGCGGAGCGTCCTAGGCCTCGCCGGCGACCGGCGACAAGATGGCGCAACTTCGGCATGACAAGGGCTTGAGGGAGACGGCTTGAAAGAAACTCGGGCTGCGCGTTCTAGTCGGATCTGAAGCCCTCCTCCTAAGCTTTTCTTGATCTCCTGCGCATCATGTTGAGAGCCAAAGCCGACACACCCTCTAACAGGAGCCGGAATGCACAGCACACCTCTCAAAGCCTGAAGCCGTCAGGTGGAACGCCAAAGCTTTTCTGCCCTCCAATGCTTCCTCCGGCCAGGTCGTCGGCAGTGGCGGACAGCTTCACCACACGGGAGGATGCCAAAAAGCAGAAAGCCCTGCAGGAGGCACGGCTTCCCTCTAAAGTTCTACCTCCGACACCTTGCCAGGGCTCTTGGGAGCTTTGGGCTTGCGGTCCGAATGGAAGGTACCGGCGTGCATCAGTGTTTTGGGGACTTGGGTGTTCAGGGTGGTGTGTGTGTGTGTGTGTATCTGCAGCGCCAGTACTTCAGCTGCTGTGGCAGTGCTCTCCTCTGAAATCACCGATTCATCATTGATATCATCATGCATCAGGCATCAATGTTCAGAAACTGGGTTGGTTCTACCAGCATTCTCGCGAACCACGCGCTTCCTCTGATCCCGGAGTTGTCAAGCCACATGGCGACGCTCCGAAGACTTGCAATATACAGAAGAAGGAAGCCCAAAAAAGTGTGATTCCAATTAGACCCCACCCAAACCCTAAACCCTAAACCGCTAGACCCTAAACCCTAAACCCTAAAGCCCTAGACACTGAACCCTAAGCCCCTAAGCCCCAAACCCACCTAAACCCTAAACCTCCCACTTGTATCCGATCTCGGAGTCTGGCGAACTTTCGCCTCGGCGAGGCGCGTGCTGCCGGCACGGCCGCCCCGGAGACCGATGAGTTCACGGGAAAGATGATCAACCCGCACAACCCGGAGTTCATCACAAAGGCCAGGCCTTTAAGGGTTTAAGGTTTAGGATTTAGGGTCTAAGGCTTCGGGTTTACTGGTTGTGTTCTTTTCGGAGCCCTTTTCGGAGCAGAGAGGAGCACATTTTGCGCATGTCCGTGCAGGCGCCCTGGTACCTGAACCAAGATCGGCCGTCGTTGAGACATCACCAAGCATGGAATACCAAATCGATGGGCACGAAGGATTGGTACATTCGAGGCGTGGCGATCTGGGGACGGTGGCACAATGCTCTTCAGTGTTGAGATGAGACTTTCGCGCAGCAGCCTGTTGTTCACACCTGAATAACGTTTGCAGCGCTCTTCTTCCATCCATACCCAAGTAAGTCCCCGAAGATTTACCCCTGCAACCAGGCACCAAAGGTGACGTCAAGACCAAGTTCATCAAAGGTGCCTGCGAAAACTGCGGCGCCACAACCCACACGAAGAAGGCTTCGCTTCAGGGTTCGTTTCGGTTACAGGAAGTCCATATCAAAGATGACAGGATTGCGTGGAAAGACCCCGGGCGATCACCGCCAAGCAGAACGGCAAAAACCTCATGCCCGATGAGTACATCACGGAGACCTGCGAAGCCTTCATAAAAGTGTCCGAAACGACACAGCTTTTTTGCCTCGCCAGTTGCAGTTTAGGGTCTGGCTTGTGCAACAGGAGCTAAACCTGGACTACGACGGCAAGCGCGACCGCTGGAACGGCTTCCAAGCAGACGACTACAAGCAAGTCATCGAGGCGAAGCTGTCAGGGGCAATGACGCAGCCGGCTGTTTCTTCTTTCTATCGCTTGTGGCAAAGGTTGTCTTTGGCTTCCTGGTAGAGGGCCCTGGTCTCTGTCTTGCAGGAGTGGGAGCGGGTCGAAGCTGAGCGAAGGCGCGTGAAAGCCGCCGAGATGGAAGAGCGCGCGAAGCTGAAAGAGCACCACGGCTGCTCTTGGAGAGCGCCAATGTTGACCAAATGAGTGACAGGCAAAAGCGCAATTTGGAGCCTTTCAACCGTTTGACTTTCTCTTGCTTCCTCAGGCCAGAGCTTAGCTGACAGTGGTTCGAATCATCCAAACCTCGGGATGAAGATGTCAGCAGGGTGGGATGCTTCAGGCACCGGGGCTTCGGCAAAGCCGGGCTCCGAGCCACTTGTCGATGCCCTTGGCCTAATCTTACATCTTACATAATCATATATGCTCATGTAAGTAGAATTATACACATATATATACATATAAGCAGATAAACAGATATATAAGTTCTATACATGTGTATAGAAATCCCTGAAGCCCCAATGCTCTAAACTGGGCCCTCGGGCCCTGGAGGTGGAGGCTACAAAGAGACCTCTGGGGACATTGCATTCCTGTGAGGGAGACGATAAGTAGGGTTTAAAAGGTTTAGAGTTACTTTAGCAATCGCAGCTCTTGCCTGGCCCTTGTTCCGTTTTGATCCTGGTCTGAATGTACAAAGAAAGCTTGAGCCAAGGGGTCCTGAGACTCCAGGAAACCTTCCGAGGCCCATGAAAGGTGTCACAGTGATGGTGGCGGTGATGGAACATGATGGAAACGTACCTGTATGGTTGGCAGTAGTACTCCTCTCAAGCCGAGCGAGTTCAAGGCGGCTGAAAGCTCAAAAGAAGTTGCTGAAGAAGAAGCGAAAGCAGCGACGGCGACAGCTGCGTCGGCAGGCTGCTTGGACCTCTGTCGTGAGACTGTGCGCAGCCTGGGGTCCAGACCGTTCTGACTATGTAGCAGACGTAGCATGAAGGCATGTGCGTTTTAGCCCTGAGGGCTGAGACTGGTGAGCCTCAGTTTGGGCTTCAGACTGCGAGAGGACCTTGGCCGAGAGTGCATCAAGTTTAGGGGGTCAGCTGTGTTCCAGCTTAGGCTTCGTTAGAGGGAGTTGAGGTGCAGTCCAGGCGAGAGCTTGCCAGGCAGAAGGACGAGACGACGATGACACAGACACTGGAGACTCCGCTGGGGCCTCGACGTAGCTTGGAGCTTTCTGGACGCTGCTTATCTGCCGCGGCTCTGCTGAGGACACGGGAGATTCCGACACAGACACCGATACCGACAGCGACAGCGAGGCTTCCGACGACGAGGCCGGTTGCTCTGGTTGTGCATGGTCGACCGTCTGCTCTCTGCGCATCTCTGCATCATCTCACGAGCGGTCACATGGCAGGACCTGGGCGAGAAGCTTAAGGACTTCGACAAATCGACCTCGACCGTTGCTGCGAAGGACGACAAGCTGCGGACCACGACGAGGAATTGTAGGGAGGGTTCTGCGGCCTGTGCATGTGCAGAGTGTCGTGCACTGTCTGGCAGACAGTCAGCATGAAATGGGAGCACCATGCGCTCCTGCGTGAAGTTCATTTAGTTCGTGGTGATGTGCGAAGGAAGCATGAGTGATCCGGCTTCATGGGGGGCTCATGAGATCGGTCAAATCTTCTCTTGCAGTAGGTCTCTAGCCTTGTTTACTCGAAGGGGACATAAAGTCCGGTTCTGGGACGGCGCGGCGCCAGATGATCCCATTAGGCGTTAGGCCATGAACTCGAAGTGGGCAGGAATCTGCGAATCCGGGAAGACACTGCCAAGTACCTCTTGAACTTGGACGTGAACTCGGCCTACTACGATCCGAAGTCCAGGCCCAGCGCCTCGGGGCCTACAGCGCGCCATGCTTTCGCAGAGCTTCTTTGGCCCGAGTCTCGGAATTGTGTGCTCGGCTCAGGTCCATGCGACAGGATCCTCTGGCCCACCTCAAGGAATTCCGGGGGTTCAAGAGAGTTGAGGGCTTCAAGATTCGGATTGTCCTCGGATTCCTCGGCCTCTGTTCCTTGTGAAAGGACGAAGAGAAGGGAACTGCTTTCCGCGGAGACAACTTCCTGAGGTGCGGGGAGGGTCGACTAGTTCGGGGAGAGGATCCGTTGTCAGCTCATGTCGAGGAAGGGCTCTTTCCCGGGCGCTTCAGATTACGAGAAGTAGCTACGCTGAAAGAGTCTTCCGAGGGTCTGTGGGCCCTTCAACCCGCATCCAAAAGCTTAGAGGTTTGGGCTCTGGTGTTTAGTTGAAGTTTGGTCTTCAGGCTGGTGACTTCAGGCTTTAGTCACCAGGCTTGCCGGTTTTACCTCAACCGAAATCGATCCATCCACATGCCTGCAGGCAACGCTGAACCCCTCCAACGTGCTGTCATTTTGTTTTCATGACTTCGGAGTCCAATCGGCGAATATGGCACAGACTCGCTGGTTCAGGCAGTCCGGCGACTCTAAACAACTCACGGAGCTCATGTGCTTTGCGTGGGACTCCTACAAGCATGGTGGTTCCGCCTGGCTTCGATGTGGGTGCAGGGCCAAGGGTGTGCAGGTTGCAACATCCCATACATTCGACTGGCATGCCAGGTGAGAAGATCCATGATACAGCGCAGCCGACTCAAGCATTGAAGATGTTTGAGGCCGGCTTAGTCAGCAGTGCTTTTGGGCGCGTGTGGCCGAGAAAACGCATGGCCCAGCGTACGCTGATATCTGCAGGTGTACAAAAACCGGGCCACGAACTTGAAAGAGCAGCAGCAGAAAGAGCTCATGGACAAGTGCCCACTGGTTTTGCAGGAGTCACGTGTTGTCCGAAGAAGCCCAGAATTGAATCAAAGATCTGCAAGTCTCTGCAGTTTCGAGTGTTTCAGCTGTGCTGAAATGCCAGGTACGGCGGCCAGGAACACATGGAAGCACCAAGGGAGTTGATCTTCTCCCAGAACGAGAACTATGTCGAGTGCGCGTGACATGAGTTGACAGCCCACAACGCTGAAGCGCCCAAGCCTTTCTTGCACTGCTGTTTTATCCTTCGCAGCTATGAGTCGTTATCTGCACTTCCCCTTTTGGGTCATTTCGACCGGAGTCTGCACCTTTCACCGAGATCCTCCCAAGCAGCAGTGGCCGTGGGTCGGAATTAACGTTGTTGCTGCTTCACGCAAGCGATAGCGTGGGAGCCACAGTTGTCCAGACGGCCCGCCTGTACCGTAATCCTCAAGCTCATGCTGCGCACAAAACTCGCATGGCCTGCGCCTTCACGCGTGATCGTTGATACCAGGTACGCCCGTGATGGGCGTGTGCTCAAGGGCCAGGAGCGGGCCTTGACCAAGTCCAAGTACGAAGAGGACGTCCTCGTAGGCTTGGGCTGTGGCAAGCAAGACATGACTAGCACATTTTGAAAACGACGCCACGACCCGTACCTCCGTCGCCGCCCGAGTTTCCGAACCTTACGTCCTCTGAATGCTGGGTTATTACAGCCCAGTTGAAACTAGCATATAACATAGCCTTTATAGTCTGCAACCCTTGTGCAGCCTTTTCAAGCAGCCCAACTGAAGCCTCGTCCCTTGAGCACTGCGAAGGCAACCACTCGTCAGTTTGGGGCTCCTGGTTCTGTACAGTCACCGGAAGGCGGGAAGCACATTCCGCAAGAAAAGGAGCTGGGTATTGAGGGTTCAGGGGCTATAAGGGGCTACCCACGAAGAGCAGTTGGTGATTCGAATGACTCATTTAGTGCCTTGGTGACAAACAGAGCGAAGGCCGGCGCTTTGTTGTTTCATCGAGATTTTAATCCACACGAGATCGATCCCTTCAGGTTTGGCTTCGCCTGCTGTCATCAGACAATGAAGAACTCCTACTGCGTGCCCATCAAGAAGGGTGATGCAGAGGTGTCCGACCAAGACTCCCCGAGCACCCTTTCATTGCAGTTCGTGGTGTTGCTCTTTTGTTTGTCTCGCAATTTCGTGTCGTTGTTGTTATTGAGTATGTGCATGAACATCCATGTCGCTCCTTTCGGTGTTCCTACCAGAAATCAGGCCAGTACGATGATTGTAGGGATTGGCGAAAGAGGTGGGATCACTGGCATCTCTGCTTCCTTCATCCTCCCAGGCCATCGAGGCGGGCGAGGAAGCGGAAGCGGAACGCCCCCAGGAGGCCGTGCCCGCCCTGGATGATGGAGGCCTGGTCTTGCTTGGGAAGGCCTGAGGCCAAAGACCAGCAGCCCCCAAGGCCGCCAAAATTAGGGCTTTGATGCGGCTTGCTGTTGGGACCATGAGCCATTGAAGGTGACATGAGTCCATAAAGAACTCTTTCATCCCTGCTCAGCTGGCCCCTAAACCCTACGCCCTAAACCCTAAACCCTGTCCAGCTGGCGTGGGGGACGTGGACCTCACCGGAGACTCCCCGGCTACAGGCAGCAGGGAAGCCTCCAAGCTCAGTGAGAAGAGGCTCCCTGACTGCAGTGCATCTTATACAGTGTAAATTTTGTATCTTTGCATATTGTATATCGTTCATGATGCAGTAAGAGTCTCGATATATATATATATGTATATATATATATCTATATCTATATATATATATATATGTATATGTATATGAATATGAATATGAATATGAATATGTATATGT